AAATGTTAAAAAGGAGAAAGAAAGGGAGCCCTGCGAGGATGTTTGCCCCGGGACCCGTGCGCTCTCGATACTCCTGCTTGCAGCAGACAAACTATAAGTTTAAAGCCATAATAGTCTGGCTGTTTTCACTTTTATAATATTCCTACGCTGTCGCTAAATAATCAGAGTATATTTTACACATCATTTGTCTTTCTTCATCTAGGTAATTCAAGAAATATTGACATAGAAGGGACAATGATAGTACTAGTATAATAAATTCATCTAGGTGACTCAAGAAATATTGATATAGCAGGGACAATGATAGTACTAGTATAATAAATTCATCTAGGTGACTCAAGAAATATTGATGTAGCAGGGACAATGATAGTACTAGTATAATAAATTCATCTAGGTGACTCAAGAAATATTGATATAGCAGGGACAATGATAGTACTGGTATCATAAATTCAACATAGCAGGGACAATGATAGTACTAGTATAATAAATTCATCTAGGTGACTGAAAAAATATTGATATAGCAGGGACAATGATTGTACTGGTACCATAAATTCAACATAGCAGAGACAATGATATAGCAGGGACACTGATAGTACTAGTATAATAAAATCAACGATGTTGTTGTCTGTAGTTATGCACAAAGCTACACAAGGGCTATCTGTGCTCTGCCCACCACGGTATCGAAACCCGGTTTCTAGCGTTCTAAGTCCGCAGACATACCGCTGAGCCACTGGGGGCCCAAATTCAACGACGCAGCTATAATATCCACTACTGATTTACTATATAAAATTATCAATCCTATGAAGCGATAAATAAACGGTAAGGAAATCATACTTACGATCCACAAACCATCAAATTTCACAGCTTCTGTTTTGTTTCTGTACTTTACTATTTGTTCTTCCCACCACTGTTTGGTTGTGGGCTTTAAAAAATCCGGAAAAGCAACTGGACCAATTGGCCAAACCTAGAAACGAAAATACTTCTAGAAATATTTTATACCTTTTGAATGATTGTTGTGCGGTATCTTATGAAGTCGTGTTATCCCAAAAACTAATGATGTTTAAAATTTATTTCGGATCAAGATAATTCAAACGTTTTGATACATATTTATTTCAACTTTTACGACAACATAAGATTATGGTAATATATGGTCATATATTTTATATTTAGAACGCCACAGTGTATGTTTTTAAATTCACTTCAAAGCGTTTGGCTTGTATATTTATATTGAAAAGAATATCTGTCTGGAACCTATGTTTCGTCTTCATAAAAAAATGTCAAAAGGTTGAATTACAAGAGATGATGGTATCGAGATGATTTGTTTGTTTGTTTTGAATTTCGCGCAAAGCTACACTAGGGCTATCTGCGTTGGCCGTCCCTAATTTAGCAGTGTAAGACTAGAGGGAAGGCAGCTAGTCATCACCATCCACCGCCAACTCTTGGGCTACTCTTTTACCAACGAATAGTGGGATTGACCGTCACATTATAACGCCCCCACCACTGAAAGGGCGAGCATGTTTGGTGTGACGGGGATTCGAACCCGCGAGCCTCAGATTGCGAATCGAACGCCCTAACCACCTGGGTATCGAGATGATCAAAATATTGTGTTCACAATTAGATGTAAATATAATAGATGGAAATAAATACGTATATACATTTACATTATAATAGTGTGCCTTATAACTTTGGAAATCCTTTTTTTTTTCAAAATAAATTATCTCTTGTTTCATTGAGGCAATGTATTCTACTATACGCTTTGATTATTGAATACATGTAGCAGTTACACAGTCTTTATCAATAGTAACGATGAAAACTTAGTTGGTGTTTTCTTCTTTTGTCTCTTTGTTTTCTGTTGTTTTTCTCTCCCTCCAAAGGCCTTTTAAACTTTGAAATTAATGAAGATCTGTGCAGGCACAGCAAAACACGTGTCCTAACTGTCACACATGGATGGAAGTAAAATATGTTGTACAAGGTTAATATGTCGTTATCCAGCAAACATATATGATAAAACTTGTCTCCCTCCCCATATACATAGATAAAAGTAAAATATGTTTTACAAGGTTAATACGTCGTTATCCAGCAAACATATATGATAAAACTTGTCTCCCTCCCCATATACATAGATGAAAGTAAAATCCGCGATAATGGCTCTAAAATTACAAGATTATGAAAAATAAAATGCGCTAACTGTTTGAGCTCTCTTTTGCCAAACTATAACAGATAGCTGAGGGCTTTTGGACTATTAAAAAAAATACATCTATACGTAAACATTTTTATCCATATTTAAGATTTGTGTTTATAAAGATGTTCACATGCGATAGGAATAACATTTTATCTTATAACTTCTTACGTCAGTGGTAAACTGATAGTAGTTACATCTGTAGTGAGATAAGCAAGTATTAAAATTTTAAACATATCTTTCTATACTTTGGAAAAACAGGATTTTATTTATAGATATCGTGTTTAAAGCAAATAAATAATAACATATAACAAAAGCTAACCTTTCCAAAAATTATATCTTTCGTAAGGTCTAAACCGTCGTCCTCTGGGTTTTTTCTACTGTCAAGAGGGACATCTGCCGGCCAAGTGATATAAACATTTTTATCATTCTTTAAGCCGGAAGTATACGGTGAGTAATTAGAGTCGTTGGCCAAAAGAGCTGGATCCTAAAACATTGATAAAATTAGTGTTTAATTTTATCTTCTTTACAAATAATTTGGATGGGATTAAGCTATATGCTAAGTTTGAGTAAATGTTCTACAGGCTAAACAATGAGAATTGTCTACACTACATATCACGAGGGCATGTTCAAGAACGTAATGCTAGACAAATGTGTGCTCCAGAAACTAACTGTAACATTTGTCTACACTACATATCATGAGGGCATGCTCAAGAACGTAATGCCAGACAAATGTGTGCTCCAGAAACTAACTGTAACATTTGTCTACACTACATATCACGAGGGCATGCTCAAGAACGTAATGCTAGACAAATGTGTGCTCCAGAAACTAACTGTAACATTACCTTATGCTATATTGTATAACATTGATTGACACTACGGATAATTGGTTTACCTTATGCTATGTTATATACCATTAAAATTACGAGTAATTAATTTAACCTGTGTTACGTTATATACCATTAACACTACGAGTAATTAATTTAACCTATGTTACGTTATATACCGTTGACACTACTGGTAATTAATTTAACCTATGTTACGTTATGTAACGTTGACACTACTGGTAATTAATTTAACCTATGTTACGTTATGTAAAGTTGAC